CAGGGCACAGCGCTGTCCCTGAGGGAGCTGCCCGTGCTGTGGAAGCAGGCCCTCGGCCTGGTGGTTTCGGCAGCCCTGGTGTGTGCCGGGATTTCCCTGCCTTTTGCCTTGTTTCAGTACTACGCCTACGTGAGGTTCTGCCAGCCCAGCACGGGCCTGGCCCAGAGCGTCCCCGAGGCGCTGCTGCAGCTGGCACAGGACAAGGGCTATCGTGTGGCAGGCGTGGGTGAGGCCAAACCCCCCTGGTGCTCCCAGCGCTTCCCCCTGGTCTATTCCTACATCCAGGACGCTTACTGGAACGTGGGCTTTCTAAGGTACTTTGAGCTCAGGCAGATCCCAAATTTCCTGCTTGCTCTGCCTGTCACCCTTTTGTGCTCGTGGGCTGCCTGGACCTACGTCAGTGCAAACCCCCGGCACTGCCTGACTCTTGGTCTAGTGAGGAGCAAGGCTGAAGAGAGGGGAAAGGCAAGAGATGGATTCTGTGGCCCTGCTACCTTCGTGTACGTGGTGCACAGCACAGCCCTGCTGGCGTTCGGGTTCTTCTGCATGCACGTGCAGGTAGGACAGGGGGGATTCCTTATCCAGGGGCTGGGGCAGTGACAGCACAGCAGTTGGGTGATTTCTCCTCTGCCTGTCGTCCCCAGGTGCTGACCCGGTTCCTTGGCTCCTCCTCGCCCATCCTGTACTGGTTCTCCGCTCACCTGCTTTTGGAACACGAACCTTTACTCTGGAGCACAGGGACTGATAACCCAGCCTCTGGGAAGCCTCCTCTGAGTAAATCTCACAGTTCCTGTGGGAAAGGGACCTCGGACAATCCCGTTGTGAGGCTGCTGCTGAACTGGCGATCGATTACACCCCTCAGCAAGAGCATCCTGGGGTTCTTCCTGGGCTACTGGCTGCTGGGGCTGGTCCTGCACTGCAACTTCCTCCCGTGGACGTAGCACAGGCCAGCAGTGGGGCAGACACTGCTCAGAACTGAAACTCAGCTGCTCTGAAAGCCCAAGGTGGATGTGGTGACGCTGTCCTTGCAGTTACAAAGGTGTTACTCCTCCATTACCACGTCCCAGGCGGGATGTTCTCCGTGGTGTGATGCTGCAGCATCCTGCCCCGCTCAGCTGGCATTGCTGACGGCCAACATTCCCATCACCTGCCTGGGATGGGGAATGCACCTGGGCTCCTGCATCCCCTGGGGGAGATGGTGGCGGGCGCGGATTTGTGGCGGGATGCTGTGAAGGATTTGGGATGTGCTGTGGGCACGGCAGGGAGGGTCCAGCTGCCCTGAGCTGCTTAGACTGTTCCGGTTCCTTTTCCATGGTCCCGGTTCCGGGCTCCGAGCCAGGCTGGGCAGGGGCAC